AATATGTAGAATTAATATTACTAATATAAATAATCTATAAAATATACATCTATACTTAAAAGTACTCATTACCAAATATACTTGATAATCACATATAATTATCAGAAAAATAAAAATTATAGTTACAAAAGTAGAACTAACTAACTTAATAATAAAAAAAAAATTAAGATACTGATACACAGAAGTAATTATGAACCATTATTGTGAGAAAATTGAGGATTTTATTGGCTATTTTTTGTTTTCAGATTTGCTCATGGCAAGTAGGAAAAATTTTCTATTTCAATATTGCTATTGAAACATTTTGTTGCCTCAGGATAAAGTAGGAACAAAATATAATTTGTGTGGCTTTGTGATTCTGTAGTTCCATGGACCATTATGAATTTTAATTCCAGCTACCTAAAAACCACAAATAGTAGATATAAGGGTATAGGGCTGAATCTATAGTCTATAAAAAAAATCGGGGTCCGTAACTGCCAAACACCTATTTATGTGTGGAATTATTTAAAAGACTTTAATCTCTACAAATTTCTTTCCCTTTTCTATGAAGCAATTTTTAATGATAAAAAGCTGAAGAATTCTGGAGTAATAATAGATTTGGTTACACTCTGGAAAATTGTGATGCAATTAAAGATTATGCATCATACACCTCTCAATGTTAAGAATAACTATGAGCTAATTCATTCATCAGTATTTACACACCTTTTAGTAAGAATAGAAATTGATTCTCTAGGAAACATTGTGTCTTGATTTATAAACTCGTGAGTGTGATATACATTCCTTGGTCTTCCCTTTCCCATTCAATATGAAACATAAAAATGCCTGCAGAACCAATTGGTCAAAGACTGAAACCTCCAAAAGTGTGAGCCAAACTAAACCTCCTTTCTCTCTAAAAAAAAAAATGCCTGCAGAGTTGAGGGATGGAATTCAAACACTTAAAAGTTTCCCAATGAACACTGCCAGCTGTATGAGAGGTTTGGAGAACTGTAGCCAGCATCTCTCCACAGTACGGCATTGCCCAGCTCTTAGGAATTGTGGCCTCCAGTCACACAGAGTTATTGGGCACTTGGCCCATCCTCATCCACCTCAGAAAGAAGGAAAGAGAACTGAACTAGAGGAATATTTTAAAGGAACAGTCTGAATGGTTTGAAGGGAGAAAGAGGACAGGAAGAGTAAAGATAGTCTAAAATGGAGGAAATGTGTATTTTCAACAAAGCACGATAAGATATGGAGAATCCAAAACTGGTTGGGTTAGGATAGGAAAGAAATAAAGAAATAAGAGACTATAAAAAGATTAACACTGGATGGTCACTTTCATTCTCTCTCTCTAGGGATAAACATCGCCTTTCAGTCTAGTGAAAGTGTATTCTTTCCTAATAAACTTTACTTACTATCACTTTCACTACAAAAAATAAGCACATCTTCTATTTCCCTTCCCTTGTCCATATGCTTCCTCCTTCTTCCTAGTGGGCATTAAGAGAGCAAATGCAAGTCAGGGAAAATTGATCTTCAAGATATTTTCTGTATAAATTTAGTGTATTTCCATAAACACCCATGAGCTGAATCTCAAATCAGTTCTTTTCATTGCTCTATGGTTGTGCAGTGAGATTTCAAAATGTTTACTAAATTGAAAGTCACTGTGGATCATGACCTATTCCCAACAGTGGTTCTTTTAAAAAGAAGGTTAAAATGTCCACATTGATCCGTAACCATGAACAACTGTTTTGTTTCCCTCCTTTTCTATTTTTTAGGACCATTGAAGAGGGAATGAAAGCATTTCTGTTGCAGACACACCAGGGTTCTGAATTGTCTTTGCTTCTACAGTGCACTGACACTAAAATTCCTTCATTAGGTAATGACTTTTTTTAAAGTTTTCAACAAAGCATACTGCCAACTTTTGACTTAAGCATACTTTTCTTTGACTAGAAAAACAAGTAAGGACACTTAGATGTCATTTAGGCTAAAAGAACTAAACTAATTTTTCCTAATAATTAAACTTGAAGTTTTTAAATTATTAGTAAAATAACTAATATATTAACTACAATCTTTCTCCTGTAACTAAGATTTATTTTAAACATTTCCTTAAATCCCACTAGGGAAGGAATATTACCAAGATGGTGACTGAAGATGAACTATTAATTAATCACTCAACATAAAATTAATGACTGAGTGAAAATCATTTCATGGGAGAGGGTTTTGTGTGGCTTGAAGAGAAAATAACTTATTCAAAAATCGAGGCAGTGAAACAAATGACATGGTAGTGACACTGCACTTTAAACAGCTCATCCCATGCAATACTTCATAATTAAGGTGGAATTTGCTTGGGATATGTGTGCCTTGAAAATGGACCAGAAGATACCTCTGTGCATTTTACATCTTGACAGTAATCACTTCCAATATTCTGTAAGGGATACCCAGGAGGGCACCAGAGATGTTTGGTGGTGAACAGTAACACATAATCGGTCTTTGGGAAGACAGTAAAAATCAGTGATCTGTGGTGTCTTACAAGCTCAAGTCAATTAAATATGATTAATGGTTACCTGTGAGAGCAGGCGGGAGTTCTGCTTCTCCTCAGGGAGAGGAAAGGACAGTCAATATTGGCTTATGTTCCTCCTTTATATTCACAGAGAAGCCTGCCTGCCTGGAGCATCAGATTAGCTCCAGAAAATGCTTGTGAATTGATAAGAAGGAAAAACACATTTGCTAAGCAGTAGAAAGAGAGGGTTCAAAGTGCCCCAGGGCAGGGCTTGCCCAGGAAGAGAAACCAATGCTTTTTATAGCTTCTGTGCCAACAGTCTGGAACATGGAACACCCCTTTTGTGTGATAAGCCGTTGGATCAGTTTCAGCTAGCTGACTTTCTGAGCTCCAGTACTGTGCACATTGTTGAACAGAAAGACAAAACAGGTCATGGAGGTGTATATCAATGTGAACAGAAGGGCAAGACAAGTAGACCCAACAGCATTCTATAAGGAAAGACAGAGTTGATTCATCACAAATCAGTGAAGCCACAGGTGTGAAAGAACATCTACCTGTGCAGGTGGAGGCTGTTGCACGAAGCCCTGTGGAGAGGGAGCAGCCTGAAGAACTTGCTGGGAGATGGGAGGGCCTGAGCCTGAGAAGCCCCCTGTAGAAAGCTGCTGGCCTGTGGAGGCGATGACATAGCTTGGCTGCTGAGCTGGCTGTGGCATGAGGGAGGATGGGTAGACAGGACCCGAAGGGGGCTCAGGAGTTTCTCCTGAGGATTGTCGGCTCAGGCTCAGCTGGCTGAACTGGACTGCCACATCATCTCTCTGCAGGTGGGGGATACAGAAGGAGATCAGTAAGCTCAGTTTGGAAATGAGAAAGAAGGCAGACTGAAGCAGACATGGGATGCACAATTGTGGTTATGGGAGAGGAAGAACTTAAATTAAATAATGGAATTCTTCAGCCAGAGCATGTTACATGAAAACCAGGCTTCAATCATCCCAGGTACCAGAGATCTTAACAATTTGACGTAAATCTCCCTCCTTTTTTTCCTTGGCAGTGCTGGGGGGTTTGAACTCAGAGCCTCATGTAACAGGTTCTATATAGGTAATTTGAGCTATGTTCCCAGTCCTTTCTGCCTTAGTTGTTTTTTCAGAAAATTGATACATTATTTTTTGCCTGGGCCAAGCTTGGACTATGATCCTTCTACCTATGCCTCCTGCATGGCTGGGATTACAGAAGTGTAGCATCATGCCCAACTTCTTTTTTGGTTGAAGTAAGTTCTCACTAACTTTTTGCCCAGGCTGGCCTTGAACCACATTCCTTTTGAGCTCTGCCTACTATGTAGCTGGGATTATAGCCATGAGCCACTGTCCCTGGCCCTTTCATCTCCCTCTTTCAAGAGCAACCTACTCTTTCTTCATTGAGGGCTCAGGCTTCTGGGGATGGTGCTGCAGACAAGGAGCACTTAGTGTGCTGTCCCCAGGTCAACTGGTCTTCCCAGCTGCAAGTACAGTTCTACATGCTGCAGAGAGGCTGGAGCCCCTGTCCTCATCAACTACCCACTACTGCTGCCAACAGAGACAGGACCTGCATTACAGTGGGTTGGTGGATCACAGGCCAAATTAGGCACATTTGTTCAATGCTCATTCTTTCAACTGCTGCCCCAAAGGACCTGCCACAGTGAGGAAAACATGGAAGGAAACAGGATTGGAGTCCTAGGAAATTATGAGCATAGGGTGGTGATGGTAACCATTGTGACTGAGATTTTGAGATATTTCCTCAACCCTCACACTGAATTCATGTACCTATCTTGGGGTCCTTTGATTCCTGGTCCACTAGTAAAGTCTTTTAAAAAGTGAACCAGATTGAAGAAACACTGAACACAGGACAGAAAGGTGACAGAAAGGAAACAAGAGATGTTATGCAGAGGTGGGTAGCTTTGATCAGCCATGAGACATTCACACACATCTCCTTGTCATCTCACAGTCAGCCAAAGGTACCGCCCTCCCCTCCTGCTGCTCCAGCATCAGCCAGAGCTACACAGGCAAACAGTAAAACCAGGGGAAATCTCCCCAGGAAAAAGATCATCTGGACATAATACAGTACCATAGGGAAGTGCTGCGTTGGAGACATGGGCAGGAGATGCTGGGGAGGAAAAGATACCGCAGGATATTGCACGGACTGGGAGGATGCCTGCAGGCCCTGGACAGACTAGAGGAAAGAAAAAGCCAATCAGGAAACTGCTGGGGTTGAAATTCCATAGGAAGCACACTACTGTCCCTAACAGGTCCCCTAGGTTCAGTGCAGCTCAGAGAAGAGAAGCAGCCACCAAAGAAAAATCAATGTCATGCAGTTCAGAGCCCAACCTTGAGGGAGGCTCATTTGCACAGAGTGAGCGTGAGTCAGCCTTTAAGAGGTTAGCGATCTTTGTTGCATGGTGTTGTTGGCTAGATTCTCTGACTGTGTGGATTATGTCTGTATGTCTCCCTCCAAAAGGATGGCAGCTCTGCATCTTTCCCAGAGGTGTAGATGTGAATAGCCACTCTTTCAAAACTGACTGATTTCTGTTCTTCTCATTGAAAACAAATTCACTACTGATGCCTTGCAGACATGAGCACTGATATGTGATGGGAAGATGACACAACGGTTTAGGTGAGACCAGTCACCAAGACAGATGCTCCTTGTGCATAAAACTGCATCCAGACCTGAGGAAACACCTACTCATTTCCTCTGCTACCTCTTCTCACCCTGTAGGCCTGAGCACTGGATGGGGAACTCATCTGACTTCAGGTCAGAAGAAATTCTATGGCTCTGCAATTGAAGATTTAGGCTGTCAGGTTTGACTTATGAAGCTCAGTGGGGACTGGCATCATGGAAGATACATCCCTTCCCTGAAGTACTGCTGCTCTGAAAACCATGCAGCTGCCTTCCAGCAGCTCCTCACCTGAGTGACCAGTGAGCCTGCCATCTGTGGCTGTGGCTGCACCTGCGGCTGAGGCTGAGGAGACGGCTGTTGTGGGGGCTGCCCCACCACCGCACTGCGCAGGGGCTGCTGGCTGCCTGGCGGGTTGTATATTGCAGGAGTTCCATCGGGATTCACAAAGGGTTGACCTGCAATGGAATCACAGCCTGGTCCAGGTAAGTGTGTCAGTCTCCCTGGCATAAAGAACCCCTTGGATACATACTCCAAATGCAGGGTAGTCAGAATTCAAGACCCCAGAACCTCTGCACGAGGTCAAACTTTTTACTCCTTGTGAACCTAACTCACTTAAGCTAGATGACAGTGTAAGACCAAAGCAATTTAAGAAATAGCAAATAAAACCACCACCTTCAGAGAGCTTTGCCGAAGCTAAAAGTGTGTCTGTGGACAGTAGCACCCAGTTGAGAGTCCTGTGGAGATCAATCTTCATGAGGCCACGTGTTTCGCTGGCCTGTACCTCACAGCCATCAGCATGATTACATACACAAAGATAGTGCATGCTTCCAATTCACACAACTCTGTCTACATTCAGTTATTTACCAATGCATTTATTTGGCTTTCCCTAAGACTTGCCACTTATTCAGAATCATTATCAGTTCCCCAAATGCACACATAGGGGAACATAATGCATCTGTCTGCTCACTTCTCTAAGCAGAAAGTAGACACAACCAGGAAGACACAGGGGTTTATATTTTACAGGTGATATACAGAATCATCTTGTAATGGAGTTGATATATTATTCTGCCTTTAGGAACAAGGACATGTTTTGCTATAATTATTAATCTACTAATAATATTGTTTCGTATAAGAGAATTATTTCATTCTTTGCAAAACAGTATTATTTGAGCCTGATAGTGATTCTGAGAGGAAGAAAGTCATCATCTCCCTGCTTTGCAGACCGGGAAGTGAAGGAAAGGTCTCAGGATGAGGGACCACAAGGCAGAGAGAGAAGAGCAGCAGAAGACAGAGGGAAATGAGAGGTGAGGAGAGAAAAACTGATTTCCCAAGTGACAGGGCCTCAGATACAAAATATTAGCTCTTCCAACAGCTCCATAAGTGTGCACTCTCATTTCCACTTCAGCAAAAATAAAATTAGGACCCAGAGGGAGCAGTCAACTTATTCAACAATATAAAAAGCAGTAAGTGAGAGAACCAGGAAACGACTGGCTAGTAAGCTACCAGTCCATTCACCCTCCAGTGCAGCAATATGAAGATGTGAATTATCCAAGTTTACATAATGAACACAGCTAGGAACAATATGAAACAAAGGTTACAACTGAAAGCTACCACTCAATGCATGGGAAGTCAGGCTGGATGGAGGACCTACTTCAGTGTAGAATCACTCCCAGTATGGGCAGAATCAGAACATGGAGAAATGTATCAGTAAATGGAACTGTTAGTGAGTCCTTTCTTTTCTTTGCCAGAGTCCTTGCAGCTCTGCTGGAAAGGGAGAAGCAGGCATGTTTTTCTACCAGTTGAATTCACAGAGATAGAACCCTACTCCTTCTAGCAGAAGGCCTAGAAGGAGTAGGGTTCCCAGGATGGAGGCAGTACTCCATAGGTCCTCCCCACCTGTGCACCTGAGAGATGGTGCAGGCAGCATACCAGGTCTCCTAAAGCATATATTCAAATCCTCTCAGCCCATGCACTGTTCTAAGATGTGCATGTGATGACAGAAGAAATCAACCTTGATTCCTAATAATTTATATGAAGAGCAACCAAGGGTCACCAATTGTATAGGGAAAATTAGCAACAAACATGGATCAAGAATGAGAAGTAAAATCTCAAAACTGACCCAGAAGAAGCAGAATATTCTAGGAATCAAAGTTCCTATGGTACTCATGAAAGAAGAACCAATTGTTACAAAATGGGAGCTAAGCTAATTAAATCAAATCTGCTAAGTGAAAGAAGTCAGCCACAAAATGATATCTACTGCATCATCCCATCTTTTTACTTAAAGGTGAAGCTAATCAATGGTAACAGAAATGAGAACAGTGGGATAGGAGGGAACTGACTAGAAGATTAGATCTGTCCTGTGTCTCACTCTGGGTGATGCTTACACAGGTAACCACATAGGTGAAAATCTTCCAAGGCCCACCCTTTAGATGGGTATGGGTCATCACTTCACCTACATGTTTTATGCCTCAGTAAATAAAATTTAGAAAGCAAAGTGGTACACGATGGGTTGGCAAATGCTAGGTTGTGGTAAAGCCAAACAGAATGCTCACAGGTACAGCACAGGGGATTTCATGTTGGCTCTCTTAGGAACTGCATCCTCCATTATTACCACAAAGTCTGGGCCCAACTATTGTGTGCATGTGTGTAACAAGAAACTTTAAATTCTGCATATTTATCAGCATACCTGTCATAACTAAGGAAGTCCAGATAACAGTTTCATAACCAACAATACCGAGTTACAGAGGGAAGCAAACGTACAGGAAATATATTCACAGAACAGAAACTAAGCCTATTAAATCTACTGTTTTTTAATAGTTTCACTATTCCAGGTGCTTGTTTTCCTACCATTGACATTTAATTTTAGCAACATTTTTATTATATTTGTTTTCTTTCCTTAAAAAAATTTCTTCTACATTCAAACCTTAAATCCACATCCCCCAAGCCAATGATTTAGAAAATGAATAAAAAATACTTAATTAAAATGTTAACAGCCTATTTAATGTTCAATCCTTAGATTCCCACTTTTGCTTGCTTTTGTATTTTAGAAAGACAAAAGGAAAGTTTTAGAAACTTTAAGAAAATCTCTATAGCAACAAGTATCCAACTTTATTGAAATTATTTCGAAATTAGTGTCATTCTGTACTTACATATACACACACAGAGGAGAGAAAGAAAAAAGGGTCTTTACTATGTTACTATATGGCTATAAATCATCACCCATGGGAAGTGTGGAAAACTACCTATAATTAGGTGTTCAGATGTCTTTTTTAGATAAATTCTAGATCTTTGTCTTGAAAAGTGATTAATGAGCTGTGGAGCAAAAGTATGAGGTGGCTCTAAGTAACTGTATATGTAAGTTCTAAGGACTCATAAAAGAAAGATGGAAGGTTCTGGAAAGAGCAGAAAGGTAAAATTCTGGTTTTATGCTCACCCTGGAAAGGCGGGAAGACATAAGGAATGTGAGGGAAGTGACATGGGTGACAGGGTTAGAGAACAAAAGCACCTTCCTAAGACAATAAGAACAGGCAGCCATAGGCTTTTGAGTCAGGCAGTGACAGTTTCTCTATATTCTATGATTTCTACCAGTCCAAATACAATTATAACTGGATACAAACAATTAGTATGAAAGACAGATGGATGCTGAAGACTGAAGAGGAAAGAAAAGACTGGCTGGGCTGGGGCCTGTTCAGCCTAGCAGAGATTTTCGTGTCAGAAATGGCACAGACAGGCCCAGCAGAGTATGCCATGTGTGTCTACACAGGTAAAAAAAGACAATGACAGAAGTAAGTTGGGTGCCTTGAGTTCAAAGCAGGACCAGAGAAAAGAGATTTTCCTTTCCTAGTGTTTAGGAGGTGATATGCAAATGACAAGGGAGTGTGTGGTAGGCCATGATTAATTCAGACCTGGCAAGGATATATTTAAAGACAGCACACAAAAATTTCATGGCATACTTAAGAAAAATGTGAAGCATTTTGGATAACATGATAGAAACCCTGACAAGAATAAAGACTATAACATTATGAAAGCCCATCAGGAGCATTTAAAAGAGAACAGAGCTAAAGGGCTCCTCAGAGCATGGCTCCTGCCAAAGGCACGACCTTACATAACACCATCATGAATTTGCACAAGATGAAGCAAAACAAAACGGCTAAACAATATATATGGGCAATAACTAGTACTGCCTTGCAGGAATGAATATATTATGTAGAGACAACTTTAAAAAAATACTCTGGGACAACTCACGCACTCATCCAGATGCCTGAAAAGCAAAGAAAGAAAGTCCTGACTTAGAAATGGAGCCACTATGAGCTGAATGTAAGACCAAGACAAAATTAAAACCTGTGCTTGTTATGGGGGAACTACAAGAGCACAGGTGGGTGACGTTGTTGCCAGTGTGCCAAACATTTAGTTCTGAGGAAGAGCTAACTCAATGATGCTGAGAAAGGAAGTGTCACTCTTCTTTCATACAGAAAAACCTGTGATTGGAGGCCATTTCGTGTCTTCAAATCAATGCTTATCTTATTCTGGCCGAAAACAGATTTTTGGCAATACTGGAATTTGAACTCAGAGCCTCCTGAGTGTTCTAGCACCTAAGCCATGCTCCTAGCCCTTTTTGCCTTCATTTGCTTTCTTTTATTCATATGTGCATACAATGTTTGGGAGAGTCTTACAGATTTTGCCTAGACCAGCCTTGGGCTGTAATTCTCCTACTTCAACCTCATGAGTAGCTGGGATTATAGATTTGTACCACCATGCCCAAACTAGACAGATATTTTATCACTTGTAATTATATATATAAGGTACCTTCTCAAACATACATATTAGGCAAAAACTGTTCCACTTTCCAAACAAATTTCTTTAACAGGTATAGATATTTCCTCAGTAACATGTAACCTGTGAGTACGTGTACCATGACTAAAACTTGTTATCCATTATGTGGAAGCCAAAAAATATAAAATAAAATAAAGCAAAACAAAAAGATGGTCCCTTTCCATAGGAGCTTATAAATGTGCTACTAACAAGAAAATGCAATGAAGAAAAATTCAGGTGAGAAGCAAAGTAGTCAGATGCCCTTGGTACCTGATATAAAAATATTTTGTCATGCCATTGCACTTGTCAGAAAGTCATCTAAGAAAGGATGAGAGTGATGGTAGTGAAAGAAGATGAGTTTTAGCCCAAAGGAGGCAAACTATAATCGATGTTATATAAGAAATTAGATAGATATATGTATACATACTTACACACACACATATACAGATATAGATATAAAAATACGTAGTACATACTTAAAACACAACACATGTTGGTGTATATTTTCAATTTATAATCATAAATATATTCTAGAAACAAGAAGTATATTTCTTTAATCTCACCATTCAACTATATTATAAAATATAGTAATACATTTTCCTTCTGGTCTAAGAATATTTTAATGTTTAGTATTTGTCAGATTAGACAAATGTGTGTGGGGAAGCCACTCAGCAGAGTTATTATATCTTTTCCCTTACTTGAGATCCGTTTTCAAAAGAGATATTTTCATAACAGCTCTAAGTGACTCCATCCAATGAATAAGAATTGGCACTTGTAGCCAACAGTGCTCTATTTCTGTTCTCTATAAACAAGATTATAGATGATAATATACACATACACATGCATAACAATGCTATCATTACAAATAATATTCCTGCATTATACCCTAAAAACTCTGTTGAATTTTTTTTTGAAACACTGTAATTTTGCTTAAAACAAGCCACTCAAAACAAATGTTTAGCATGTGCTTTTTTTATCAGACCCTCTATCTCAATTAAAAGTGAAAGAATTTAAGCCAACAGTCAGATCCGTGCCCAGAGTACTGAATACAATCATAGTTTAGCACTTGCAATAATCTAAATAAAATAAAAAGCAACCCAAAACTCCTCCTCAGATGTTTCTGGTCTGGAGTTTTCAATAAAATGATTATGTCTTCTTTTCCTTCAAGTTCATAGCATTTTCAAAATGTCTCAATCAAACACCATGCTGAGAAGATACCATATGTTTTATGAAAATGTGTCAATTATTCAAGTAACTATTTTACTACAGTTCTAATGTTTCTCTGAATTTACTAATTGCTAGGAGCACTATATGTGAGAGAAGAATTGAGTCAGATCACTTTCATGAGATACACATCCAGTTTTGCATTTCCAAGCTCAGTTAATTGAAGAAAGACTCTGGAATGATCTAAGCTAACCTTCAGATCTATTCTGAAACAATTCCATTTTTTCCAATCACTAATAAAGGTCTCTGAAAAAGTAACTCATTGATGTCAAGCTTCCATAACTAGGGTTCCTCTACTGCTAACACTTTGGACTAGGTAATCCTTCATTGCAAGGAGCTGTCCTATGCTTTTGAGGCTGGTAAGTGGCATCTCTAGCTCATATCTAATCAATGGCAAGAGCGTCCTTTTCCTCCCCAGGTAATGATGACCAAAATGTCTCCAGATATTGATGAGTCAGCCTTGGGGGCACAGGCAAAGTTGCCTCTTGTTGAGAAGTTTCCTACATGAGGCAGCAGTTGTTCAATTTGTCTGCTAATGTTAGGACCTCCACCCCTAAATCCTTTGGAATTAATGTGGAAGTTAACTGACCCACTAGAGAAATTAAAAGTGAAATAACTAATGGTCATTCATCAAGGAGGAAACCATGATCATGAAGGAAACAATTTCCCAAACCCCAGCATAACCAGGTTAAGCCCATTATCCCTATGAATTTGTTCTCTTTATCCTCTGTGCCACTGATGCTCCTTATTCTCCCATAGGATCTGGCTGAAGCTCTGTGGTAAGAAATCAGCTTCTATAGTTAAGAACCTACTATGCATCTCCAAGTTCCTGAAACATATTTAATTCAAAGCTCTTCTGATGTGGTACAGGCTAACCAGGGGTGAGGTCTGAGAAACACTAATTTTTGTATAGTATATCCAAGCTTATCACACTGTTGTCTCTGACCTTAGCTTCTAGGTCAGACCTTAAACACCATGACCTTAGACTAGTGAGGAAGACACAAAGAATGGGGGATGCTTCTGGGAAGGATCTGTGTCTATATTCATTTAGACATGAAGTATTATACATAGCTATAATTGGTTCTTACTAAAAAAAAAAAAAGCCACAGCAGTTCACACACCCAGTGTCCTGTTCAGTAATTTTCACAAAAGTTGCTAGCAAATTCAAAATATCAAACACAAAAAAACACTTTTGATGAGCTTGTGTCCCTAATAAATAGCATGCAATAACTAACCTGTGTGTGGATTAAGAAGGATGCTTCCAGGTGGGATGCCTGTTGCAGCTTCAAGTGGAAGGAGGATGTAGCTGGTGCTGCTGGGAGGGACCTGGCCCCCCATTCCATTCTCTGCATAGGGCACACAGCCAGGAGAGCCAGCTGCCATGCTGGAGGGCAGGGGTGTGCTCTGGAGAGGGGGGTGGGTACGGGACAGTGATCCTGAGGAGCCTGCACTGCTGGAAGACTCAGAACCTGGCACAGAGATATGAATCATGAAATCATTGGGTAAACAGAGAAGCAGAGAGAAACAAGTCTGTGTCTAAATGCTTACTTTTCTATAACCAACCATTAAAGAATCTGAGGTACAAGCTATAGGACCAGGTTAACTAATACCCCTCCTATATTTTGGGCTTACATTTTATAGAACTCTTTGCGATGTGTTTTTCAGATGTGTCCATTTTCTAAGAAAAGAGTAATTGAAAATGAGCCCTGCCTGCCTGTCTCTTTCAGGATTTTAACACAAGACTAGGTGATAAATGGGTAAATGAGACTTAAAGCTCCAAAATCAGTTCCTGCAAAATCCCAGATTCTGAGTAATTAGAGAAACAGTATTTTTCTCCCATATATGATTAGAAAAACTGGACCATTCCTGTTGAGAGCATAGCATATATGAGTGAACAAGTTTGGGGAGGGGGAATGTGGTGCTGGGGATGGAACCCAGGGCCTATGCATGGTAGTCAAATGCTCTACCACTGAGCTACAAACCCAGCCCATGAGTGAACAAATGTAAAAATCAAATAGTATCTTTTTAAAGGAGTGAATAGTTTAGGAGAACACACGGAGGACTGAAAGGCAAGGAGAAATGGATGAATCTGAAATCTGATTCTTTCTGACCAGGGACAACTTTGAACTATTGAATATTAATTTCCTTTTGTGTAATGATGGAACAACATCAATTTTGGATATTAAGGATTTAAGACAAAAAAGAGGATGTGAGCCAAGAGGCTTGGCACAAACTATGTAATAAAGAGATAGAGGGTGTTATTATTCTTGTTTTTAAGCACATGATATAAGTGCTTAAAATGCTGTACCATATTTCACATATTTGATTTTTATTAATACCAAGGGCTGGACCACAGAGGGCTTAGCCCTCATAGCAATCACATATCCTTCAGATTCAATGAAACATCTTCTAGTGACATAGGAGAGAACCAACATTGGGGATACTGTGGATTTCTAAAACATGTACGTAACTGGGACAGTGTGTGGAATCCCCAAGTGGAAGTTATCTCTAATATTTCTCCTTTCTCTCCACTGTGATCAAAGAGAGAAACACCTGCCACACGCCATCATTCCCTGAATACTCACCACCTTCACTGTGGCAAGAGTGAGGCAGCCCCAGTGCTGTGACTGTGGCCGTGTGCAGCTAAGTATGAACTAGAGCATTGAAGAGACATTACTCCAAGCAAAATTTCTATTACTATAAATAAAACTAATCGATGATTTGAACATCACAGGTTGCAAGAATGAAGTAAAAGCATTCATTAAATCACCTGCCCATGATTATTGATTCCTCTGTGTCATGAAAGGTCAAAAAAAGAAAAGCAATAGGTAACATTCTTTCCAAAATTTTAAAAAGAACCCTGGAATTAAACTGGAGAGTTTCTAAAAAAGACAAGTAATATGATGAGAACATGCAATAGCAGAGAACAGGGGCAATTTGGAGAGTCTGATGACTTTCGAGACAGAGAAAAGTAATATTTATTGAGCACTTAGTATGTGTAAGCACCAGAATAAACACTTTAATAACAAATAGTTGTACTGCATCAATGGATAGGGAAAGAGAGTAAAGAAAAGTTAGATAACCAAAGCCAGCTCATATAGCTAGAGAATGGCAGCGCTGGGATTTGATCGAGGCCAACTAATCTCCAGCCCAAGCTTTAATGCTGACCTGTACTGTCTCCCTAAAGTGTGCATAGCAGTACACCATGGCTGGCTACCAGGGTTCTCAACTGGGCATCTTCTCTGCTTTTCTCATGACTTGATTATTAATAATGATAAAGTTTTAGGTTCATTCAGGATGCTTCATCTGAATAGTTTAAAATGATGACGAGGTTCTGAGTAATATATGGGGAGAAAAGCAAAGGATGTAAAAGAAATATTGAAAATTAAAAAAAAGTTTTTAGATTATAACACTGAAATTATGACTACAAGATCATTATCCCTATAGAGTTTGTTTATGGACTTGCTGTGAATGGTTTGATGCCATAGAACGAGTTAATCACTAAAGCAGTGCCAAACATTCTGCACACAAATGCTTAGGGTCAGAGGAAAATGATTCAGTTCATTTCCAGTGACAGGGAGAAGAGAAAAGAGCTGGGCCAATGAAGCCTCTCAGGCAGCTGATCTGAGGTCTGAGCTTCTGCTGGCCTGGGGTGAGGGTGTTGGAGGAGGGGCATATAGACTGAAGGATCAAAATCAAATCCAAAGAGTGAGTTAATTTTGGCTTTAGAAAGATGGTTGTTAATCACTGAGTTTATAGTAACACTTTCTTCTGTCACCTGGGGAAAAGTAGTAACATCACCAGGAAGGCACAAAAAACAATGTAAATGATTTGATCGCACAGATTAAAGGAAGGAAGAAAGACTAAATTTGGCTTAAAATCTCAATACTTGCAAGACAGACATGAAGTGAAACTTCCTTGGAGGGGTGGCTCAGTTCTAAACATAAAGCTAGGGCTCAGAAACTGGCTTTTCCCATCAGTTTATAGCGAGATTTGACCAACTATAAATTGAGATCTCCTAGATCAGGCAGAACAACATTCTGCAAACAGCCAGCACTACTTGGTAAAAAAATCGCTGCTAGCAATAATGATAAACAGCTCGGGATTAGAAGTGTTCACAAAATTAAAACAAACTGATGTTGGTATTTTGAAAACTTTAGGGTTTTGGGTGCTGAGAATTAAGTGTTTTTGGTTTTCTTTACTTGGGGGTTTACTGATAGCCAAGGCAAGATGTAAACAATATGTCCCTGTGACAAGCATTGTGAGACCTCTAATCTAATTTTTCCAGAAACCTCATTTTTTAAAGATGAGACCAGATCCCCAAATACTTTATATACATTTCCCAGAGCTCACTTGGAGTGAGGTGGTAAGAGTTCAAACTTGGGCAACTGGAACAAGCTCTAAGCCTGCAGGGCACACATTCACCCCTTCCTTCCCACCCTCACACTCCCTCCCACTCCACCCCAACCCTGGTAATTTAACTGAGAAACAGGGGAAGGGGGGCAGGGCCCAACCTAGCCTGGGTCAAGTTCTAGGAGATACTAGACAGAAGTTCCAAGCTACTCACAGTGGGATGTTCAGAAGTTGAAGCTGGATCCTAAGGAACCAGGTGTGGAGGGGGTGCACTGCTAGGTGAGAGTATTGGGTGAACTCTCAAGAGAGAAAAAAATAGGAAAAGAACTGACAAGGCAAAGCAAAACAGAGAACTAGGAAGGGACAGGGCAGAAGGGAGGAGATTCCCTTGCAGAAGCAGAAACACATTCCAGGAGGGAGCATTCTAGGTGTTAGATTCAGTTCTGCCACTTGCTAGCTGTGGTTCTCCAGGAGTAGTTCCTCCTTTAGACTTCGGTACACTCTTCTGTAAGTCAGAAGCCCTCAGACTGACAGAGTAAACCTGGAGCAATGAGGAGAAGGTGGCTGGAACCCTTACTTGATCAAAGTTTAGATGGCTTTCTTCCAGACTTCAGGCTTCTCACCTCCCTTTTCTTAGATCATTTCTGTGCCTTTAAGATGTAAACCTTCCAGTTTCCTGCCAGCTTTACAACTCAGGCTGTGTTTCTTAAAGACCTGGAAGCCATCATTTAAATGTAATTGGTAAGAGAGGTAGATTGGGGTCAGATGTGTAGGAAATGGTACTTGGAATTTTATTCTAAGTATGATAGGATTCATTTGGAAGATTTTAAACATAAAATTGACCTAAGGTCATTGCATTTTAAAAACTGAAGAAGGAAGAAAAGGGAAAGAAGGAAGAGGAGTGCCTTTGGTGAGGGTTAGGTGAGGGGGTTCTGGCTGCTGATTGGAAACTATTATATCCCTTGTTTTTTGTTTTTTTTTTTCCCCTCATGACCAACTGGTCAAATACTCTTACACTGCTAAGATTTAAAGTCACTCTTTAGTTTTATCTACTGCTCTTTTAACATCTTTACTGAGTTGCATTTCATATACCATAAAATTCATCCTTTAAAAGTATACTATATTCACATAGTTGTACAATCACCCATCCTGTTGTAGAGCATTTTCATCACCCCAAAAGGAAACCAGTATTATTTAATAGTCACGCCCCACTCTCTGGTCCCTACCCTAACCTAGGCAAACACTGATCTAAAGTCTGCTTCCATGGATTTGTCTAGTCTGGACATTTCACATAAACAGAATAGTAAAATATGTGGTCCTTTGTGAGTGGCTTCTTTGATGTATTATTTCAATCCTTTCTTCCTTCACCTTTTTTTTGTTGGTACCGGGGCCTACACCTTGAGCCACATTCCACCAGCCCTTTTTTGTGATTGTTTTTTTCCAGGTAGAGTCTCACAAACTATCTGGTTGGCTGGCTTCGAACAGCAATCTTCCTGATGTCTGCCTCCTGAGTAGCTAGGAATATAGGCGTGAGCCACCAGTGCCTGGCCTTCAGCTTTAATAAGTATAATTGGCAAATAAAAATTATATATTTTTACAGTGTACAATGTGATGTTTTGGTATATGTATATAAATATATATATATATATAGAGAGAGAGATAATTAAATCAAAATAATTAACTAAAAAATATAATCATCAAGAAAGATAGTGCCTATCTTCAAGGTTGGTGTGGGGGTAGGAACCTTACCTCAGCTGTCATACTTAGCAAACACACTAATACATTGATGGCCTAATCATACTGACCAATTTCCTCCTAGCATCATCCAAAACCTTCTGTCTCATCCCAGTGCTTAAAAACTCTCCCATGTTTTGGTTCAGTAGAGCTGAATTCTATGGCTCTCCCCTACTGTAATAACCTTGATTCCTATTATAATACTTATTTGATAAAGTTTTCCTTGCTTGCCTATCTAACCCACCTAGAGTAATTTTTCCTTAACAGGGATCCCAAACTGTAGTTTTTTTTTCCTTAAAAATTAATGAAAACATTTCTAGATTTAGAGTTTCAAGAGTTCTATACAATAATCTAAAGATTCTGAAGTTATAGAAGAAAGAGACTATCCTGGATGTATTAATGCAGTAATGAAAATAAACAAGAAGAGGAAGTAGTGGAAAGATAAGTAATATTGCATTGGATCCCCAAATATTCTAGGAAGTAGATTGAATGCGACAACAGCAAGAACACTCTTGCATCTAGAGAACAATTTACCAGGCCACTTAAAACTATGAAAACAAAAGGACATCTTATCTCTACAGCTATTTTCAGAGTGCAGTTCCTAGACAAAGGGCCAAATAGCATCAGTTATTACCTGTGAATTGGTTAGAAACATACATCCCTGATCCCCATGCCACACCTCCTGACTCAGAAGCCAGGGATAGAGCCATGACCTGTGATTTTGATGCAGCTGACATTGAGAACATTGCTCTGGAACTCAAAAGTGAGGAATGGTAATTAAAGCAGTGCAATTTGGCCAATACAAGAAAAGACAGATGTCTTATATCATAGCCATGTGGCCCTTTCTAAGAAAACATTGGGTTGCAGTACACTGTCATTCCAGGGCTCTTCACCAAGACATTATCATTCCAGGGCTTTTAATGGCAACGTCAAACTCTGTAGACCTGCGCTGGGCATCTGATAGTCAGCCCAGGCCTCAAGAGAATATGTTTTTCACTAAGATGTAGGAGAAATGTGCTTCTAACATGGAAAAAGTTTATTATCTATTTCAAAGCAGAATCAATGTAATTAGAAGAGAAGAGTTACTTAAATGTCACACTCCAGACTTGCTTTCTGAAATGCTTAAAAAAAAACTTTGCAATTCTATTGTGAACAATAAGGCAAAAAAAAAAAAAAAAAAAAAAAAAACCAAAAACCAAAATATCCCTGGAACTTGTTGATGTTCTGAAGCACATGCAGCAAAAGTGACAGCTTTATTTCATCACACCATCTTGGGAAATTTTAAACTTTGTTTTGACATCTTATCTTGGTCTTCAAAATTCTTTCCCCTTTCCATACTTGCACCTCTTTGACAAGCTTTCAAATGGAGACACTTAAATTAAGAGACAAAAAAAAGTCTGCAGTACTTAACAATCTCAAGTCATCCTTTAAAGAGCATGGCATTTTAGCATTCTTAGAGTGTTTAAATGCTTCCAAAGAGCTTTGCATTGAAAGTGATTGGGGGTTAGTGCATAGAAAATGATGATTAATTTAAAAATTTTAAGAGCTCTTTTGGTGTGCTGGAATTTTTAAGTGCACCATTTAAGGTACTTGGTTTCTGCATTTTAAGATTTAAAACTATTTAATCTTTCTTAGTTTACAAGAGCTCAAGTGCACCACAGTGGATTGTCTTGATCTCAGCTGCTCCAATAGTGGGATATGAGAGCAATTAATTACAGTAAGAAATCACAAGCTCAACAACTGGCGAAAGAAGAACTTGCAGGAAGAGTGTGAGCCCACCTGCACCTCTCTGAGGAGCATTCCTGAAAGTGTACAGGTATGTCTGTGACTAAATGCTATTCATTTCTTTTTTATGTAGTAAAACATGAGATAATTTCCTAGTAGGAATTTGTCAACAACATAATTATATTAAAGCACCAGCATAATGAATCTGAGTTTTGCACAGTCACCTTCCCACCTGATCCAGCATGAGGATGGTTGGGTACCTATTCAGCCCAGGTCTGCCTGCATCTAATGTCTGACTGGGGTTCTCCATTCACCAGTGTCCTAACCTGGTTTCCCGCTCACCTATCATCCCAGACTCGTGTGTGTTCCACAAGCATGTCCTGATGCTCAGGACCCTATAAAGAGCCAGTTGGCTTTTTAAACTCCATCAGTATAAAGTTACTTCAAGTTGATGATTGCTACTTTTAGACCTCTCAGTCTCACTTCCTAATGACTGGCCACAGTAACCTGTCTCAAAATATCAGCATTCCCTTGGGAAGAAAAACTTGAAACTCTACACTTATCTTCGATTCACCTTCCTTATTTGCAAAGAAGGGATGAAAGCATTAAAAGACAATAATAAAAATGAAAAAGAACTAGTGCTGATTGGTGCTTTTATTTTCCAGGTATTCAGATTGCTTTCTGTATGTTGAGGCCTTTAGTCTTCCTAATAAGCATGCAATATAGGTACAATTATTATTTTTATACCTCAGATGAGGAAACAGGTACACATAGGTTAAATAATATGCCCAGGATCATACTGACAGTATACTAATGCAATAACTTAATCTATTAATATTATAATTACCTTACAAGGTTGCAAGGAATAAGTCATAGCATTAAATGTAAAAACAGTAGATAATTTTTGTTAAGTAGTTGACATTGGCAAGTGCCATGGTAATCATTTTGTAAAAGTCATCTAATTTAATCTTTACTGGGAAAATTTCAGCAAGTAAACTTAAGTAATTAAGCTACTGAATGGGTTCAAGTAACATTTTATGATAACCTACATTTTCTCAATAAGGGAACAATATTAGAGAGCTTAATAACTTGACATAGACCCATAGCTAGAAAGATGCAGTAACCTATGTAAATAGCACTTCTGATTTCCCAGAATGTAAAGTAACTACTACTATTGTCATTGTCATTAAAGTCAGAGAGACTGGTGACCATATGGCTTGGGTAGAATACAGAAAATAACAGAACGTGAACCCATTCAGTACTAACTACCTGTTTTGGACAGCTTCCCGGCACTCCTGGTACTGGATGTACTGTCACCCCTGGTCAGCACCGTGATGCCCCCAAAACTGGCCGTCTTGGTGATGGTGGGCCGCAGATTGCGGTTGGAGCTGTCAGAGTCTGTGCTACTCCAGGCCCTGTGGTGGTCAGACCACTTGAGCTCGTTCTCTGAGCTGCTCTGTCGACTCCCAGAAGTCCTCCCTGAGCCGTCTCTGTTGCCCCTGGAGCATGGCCACCAGAAAGACGCACAGGAACAGTGTTATATTGTGTAATAGGGTGGTGTTGAGACAGAGGGTCCTTTCTTGGAAGAGTCATCTACATAAGACCCTTCTAGCCAACCACTTCAATTAAATCACCCCCAACCATGCTACAAATGCCTTGACGATGTATAGACAGATCACTCACAAAACACACATTACAAACAGAAAAGCCAGACCTAGAAATGTCACATGATCCCTCTACCAGGGACAGAGAAACAACTAGACAAACATGTATAAAATGTAATTGTTAACTTCTCTTACAGAAAACAGAAGGGGATAAGTTCTCCTTACTCAAATCAACAATGAATGTTCAGAAGTAATTGTAATCTTAAATTATTCTAAAATAATTCCCACTAAAGAAGAGTTTTGTTCTCTCTCTTCAGTACTAAATAATTTACTTGGGAAAATGTGCAAGATCCAGAGAAGCTATTTATTAATCATTTTCCATCTTCCTGATCTATGTTATATCTGACTTCACCAAGGCTTTGACAAACAACACTAAAATCACAGAAATTACTTTAGTAACCCATGGTAAGAATTTTACCCAATGAATTGAAGCTTCATGGTCAAAGGAAATAGCCTTTTAATCTCTCTCACTTAGGAAAGCTTGTTAAAACAATAGGGTCAACACTGTACAGTGTCATGAAACTTTCCAAGGGTATCAATGCAAATAAGCAAAAAACTCTTTAAGTGAAAGAACACATCTATTCAAAATTCAGAAAGGAAGTGGTTTCCACAGCCAGAAATGAATTTTAAGGACTCCAAAGTAGCCTTAAGAATATGAAAAAATTGCATGCGATTTATTGAGGAAATTTGGTGAAATTTGCATTTTCACTGGTTTCCAATCTACTTAAGAAATACCTTTATTGATATTTCCAAATCTTTTTTTCTGAAGATGGAAATAATCAATCATTAAAATACCCTATGATTCTTATGAATTATAAGTAAGTGAAGGGAACATTAACCCCTAATTTCATATCAATATGCAATGTGACATATTCAATTCTTGAATCAAATCTCACAGATACATGATCAGTAGCTTTCCTTTAAAAGTTATCTTTTAAAAACAATAGTGTGTGACTGCGAGCTAGAAGTCTGCATATCTAATTGAAGCTTTCACCAACCAAATTGTACAGAAGTATAGGGAAATTTTAGGTTTTGCTTCTACTTTACTTACTAAACTTCTTTTATTTCAGGGAAATTTAAGAAAGTAAATGGAATCAAGAGATAATAAGAGTGAAATAACTAATCTGTGACATGAAGTTTGCACAGTCAGGGAGAAAGTGAAATGGAAACATGTCAAAACAAGGGGACGAAAATACCAGAGGCCCTGAGCCTCAACATTTTCTTGCATTCTCTATTTTAATAGAGATAGCTGGTTTTAGGAACAACTGACTACCTGAAGAGACCTGGCTATAGGTAGGATGTACCCTCACCAACCACCAAGTGACTTTAGTTGTTACAGTTCTTTGAGATTTAAGAAAGTTATCAGTTCAACCCTGGTCCCCTCTTACTAGAATCTGAGGAAACAGTGGTCATTGGAGCTAGCCCTTCTGTAGGTAACTAGAATGTGATCCTAGGATAGTCCTTAAGCACATATCCTAAGATCTGTTTCTGAGCTGAGTATCAATTGATGGCATTTATTTTCCTTCATTTCTGAGCACTCTATTTTCTTGCCCAAGTTAGGAATAGTGGACACTTTGAACTGCCTTTACCACTATGCAGATGGCTTTGTCCTAAGTTGCCTTTGTGAGTTTCTGTGCTTGGTGATTTTGGTGGGTGGTGGAATCCATACTTGAGATGGTCGGCCTGAGCATATGGTAGGTCCACTAGGGGCAGCTTGGGGACCATGTAAAAGTAACTGGCCTACTGGAGGCAACAACAACCCATATTTTGTCCACATCAGCCTAAACAAACTAGATCACAGTATGTGAGTTGAGGGATAATGGTTAATTTAATTCTTTTCCTCTGGGTTTTCAAGGGAGAAATGCAAGGTTATTTTCTTAAATAGTCAAGTGTGAAAAAAAATGTCTACTAATACATGATATTAGACTATGTGGTTCAATCCAGAAAAGGAAAGGAAGTTGAAAAAAAGTTGCTAATTTTTTGTTTCTGTCAAAGTATAAGAGAACAAATTATGCTAGCTTTATCAATGATGAGATTCTAAATTCAGACTGACTGAAAAAAGATACTTTCTAAGCACACAATCCATTAACTTTTTAAAAATATTTTGTCTTCTAAATTAGCAAGAGTTTTTGGGTTTTGCCTTTCCTATAATAGAAATGAATGCTAATATCCACAAATGCATTAATACATTTAACACACACGTTAGATACTGAGTGTACTTATAGCGCTGCATGCCATCTTCCCTACAAAGGATGGTAGATAGACACTTAATAGAGTGGTGACAAATGAGTGTGGTCCCTCTGCTACCAGAGAGCTTTAATCCTAGTATAGAACATAAATAATTGTTTTCATCCTTTCCCTTTTTTCCCACACAGATCTGAATTTAAGAAGTTCATTATAATCTGAAGGAACTTTATAATTTTCTTTAGAAATAAAATCTGTGTTCAAAGATAGTTTGAATTACTATGAAGGACAGTAGTGATTTAAAAGTTAGATACTCAAATAGAGTTACCATTGATTTATCTTCCTTTATTGGGAATGTGTATACAATTGCATCCTTTCATAGAAATTTTAATTCAGTACAATTAACCAAAATGGATTTGGAAATGACAAGTCAGTGTGCTACCAGAGTTGGCCTTCTACAAACAGAAACTCAGAAGAACCCTGAAGAAGAGGGCACAAAGGGACAGCCTTCCAGTTCCACCTCTCAAATCGTCCAGTATAACGTCACATTATCTGTGTAACAAACTTTATAAGGAGAAAACTGAAAAAGTTTTATTTCATGAACAGGAATATTTTACACTAATACACTTATATTTAACATGGATTCTGCCACATAATCTGAAAACACACTTTAAAAAAGTAAACCATACCAACCGAAAGAGCTGTCTTTTCTTATAGGTCTCATTGCATATGTTACTGTCTTCCAAGAGCCTACTGGAAATGAAAAACATGATTTTTATGAAATAAAATCTAAGAGTACTAAATGTCCTATGGATGTGTACTCTACTATAGCCCATCTTTCCTGTAAATCAATCCCTTATCCTATGTTTTATTTATGTGATGTTATTTTGCCATCATAAATTAATGGCAGCGTGAAAGGATTATGATCCTCATCCTATGTTAGATAAGGGGGAAGTAAAGGATGAGGAAAGAGTGATGATAGAAGAAGAGAGGAGAATAAAAGAAACTGACATATGTATGAAAGAGATGTTATTAAATATATAGGCTGTGATTTTTTTCCTTAAGGTTTTTAATCTTTTTGAGTCCAATGAAATACTGACATTCCAGCAAAATTTATTTTTATAAGGAAGCCACTCAATTGATCTTTCTTTCTTTGGACCACCAAGACTTGCTCATAAATACAATGTGACATATGATCAATTATTATACCGTTGACTACAGTCCAATTTAAACATATATGACACTTAGGTATAAATGAATAGGATTACAGAGTAAGGTAGGGCAAACGGTTTCCCACTAAATTGATTTGTAAATGCTCACTTAATATTTTTGGTGTGGGTATAGAATGTTGGAATGCTCCAGAATCATTGCCAAGAAATTAATACTCATGTATTCTTGGTTCTATTGGAAATTGGGAATATGTATCTAAATCTGTATAAATTTTGAAGTTTGAACCACTCATATAGACGTGTTTTATAATTTCATTTTGTCTTGTAAAAGAAGTGATTCTTTTAGGGATTAGTAACTTGAAGATTTCAAACTGCTAATAAGTGCAATGGCTTTTTAAGATCAGTTATCTATAATGACCAGTTTAAATTTCTCTGAGGACTGTCATTTAATGAGTCTCAATTTTAATCAGTTTTAGGACACCATTAAGCTGACACCTGAAATAAAATCAACCACCACTTTTCTTACAAACACTATATTTCTAAACAAATTGCCAATTTTGAGTCATTGGAAATGTGTTTAGTGCAGTTAATGTGGGTTCCATCATTTGTCCTGAATATCTGCAATGAAACCAATGGAACATTTTAATATCTATGTCATTCTAGACCATTTTTAAAAGGTGTATGTTAAGTTTGAAAAACATCTGATTTTATGCCAAAGATGTTCTATGAATTTCAAAACTCCTTTATTTATTGAGTACTTCCCTTCACTAACTCTTAAGCAGGTTACAGTAAATCAGTTTAGACATGTTAGCCCTTTTATGAAGACTAATAGTTTAGCATGTGAAACTTTAAATAATATTATTCTGATTATTATCTGTATAAATGTATAAAATTATGGGGCATATAAAATTGTCAATAACATCAAATGCACAAGTACCTTTTAATAAGTACTGTTCAATAAATACTGTTCAATAAGCCAATGAAACTGTTCATTTCTGTGTGGTCTCAACATTTCTTCCTGGTGAAGGTAAAAATTACACCAGAAATTGAGACTTTAAATATGGAAAATGTTTAATTCTCTGTTTAAAAGTAACTTGAGAGAACTTTTTCCCCAAATTGAATACTGTTTAGACATGTTAAATAACACATGTATGTGAATATATGTGTGTATGCATAGATATATGTATTAACTTATACATATATTCAAGAACACACTTATATATGGGATATATGTATATGGGAATATACAGGACACACATGACAGACTGTTCCTCTCATGACATGTAAAGGCAAATTTAATTTTACCTGTTTTCCACAAAAAGGCTTTCCTGGGAGCAAACTGACTGAAAAAAAAAAAAAGAAAAGAAGGTGTTGTATCAGTTGTTCTGGGTGTGCTGAGGGATCCCAAATCTTTGCCTGATTTTAAACTACTTTCCCCTCCTAGGGAAAAGGATTAAGAAAATTATGTACAAGAGATGGAAATAAAAAAAGAGAAAAATTCTTTAGCATTAAAAGAGTAACCAATTCTTATGAGGCACAGACACTGTTTCATCAGGACATCTACACCATCAAAGTCGGAAAAGAGATGAGAATGAAAACTTCTGGAGAAATGTGGATGTTGACTTTTGAATCAGCCGTCTCCTTTAGAGCTGTCCAGGTGCAGAACAAAGCCAAGGGAAGGGGTGCAATTCCAGGCAGACATGCAAATTTGACACAAGCCACACAAGGGTGGGAGCACAGTGAAGCCAGGATCCTGTCATTACTGCCTGGTACTGATGTGTTCTAATGAAAGAAAGAGATAGGCTACAAGTCTCTCAAAACTGAATCAATTTTAACCATGAGTAAGGGGGGGGAGGAGTTACAGAAGATAAGTTTTATTGAAATGAAGTGAACTAGAAAAAAATTATTAAGCTCTGTCTGGTATTTCTTAGTTCTTCATATAGAAAGTAAATGGCTTTCTTTTCTCATTTCTGTTCACCTAATGTTCATTTCTCTCCTATTTTATCTTTAATACAGAATGAAATTATATAATCATTGCACACCAAGGAAAGGTGGATCAAATTAAACTTAACCAAAGCAAAAGAAACTGCTACACAAAACACAGTGCTGTGTTTGACTTTGTTTAGAAAGTAATACAAAACTATTCTCAAAGTGTTAGATATCTAAACATCTATACATATGCACCTTATTTGATGTGCGAATTTTCTAAATGATGAATAAGTGACTTATTAAAGGGATAGAGACTTAACAGGTCAATTTAAGATAAAAAAACTAAAGAAATATTAATAACCTTTCAATAATTCTTGGACTAAGAGATTCTGTTAATGTAACCACTGCTCAGAGAGCAAGCAAGAATTGGCTTCCCTTTTCATTTTGCTACAGAAATCACTTACTCCCTCTATGTCAAAGGGCTCACTCAGTTTAGGCCTGGCATTCTCCTTGGTTTTCTGAGCATTGCAGTGAGAGCATCTCTAGAATCCTTTCAGTTTTACCTTTCTGCATTTGTCCTGGCTCTCAAATGTCAAGTGTTCAAAAACCTTATTTAACAAAAAGTACAAACAGTCAATTAAAAGAGAAAGTTTTCAAACATAGCTTTCTTAAATCTGACTTTTGCTTGTGTGAAAATTTTTTCTCTGTAAGCTACAAGGTCCTGTCCTTCTCATTCTCTCTAGTTTGATTTTACAACCAGCTTCACTAAAGTCATGGTGTGTGAAGAAAGAGGTTGTTTTTGATCTCTGAGTACAATGTTTTGCTCCTCCTCAGTTTTTGTAGTTGGAGAGAGGTCAATTAAGTTTATAATGTTCTGATGAGATACTGGAATTGTTGAGATCCATTACTTTGAAAGAGTTGATCAAAGACATACTGACCTGTTCAGACTTGTTAATCTAGCAGCATTTGGGGGGTGGAAATTAAGCCATTTTGAATTAAATAGTAAGATCAGCAAGTCAAAGATACCGATCCCCAAAAAATATCTTTCAAGAGCATTTTCTGAGAAAGTCCCAGAAAATCATCTCATCACCCCTTCCCCACATTTTCATAAATCAGTAAGAGACAGTTATGGCTGTGATTCAGTAGCTGGTGAAAATAAACTTTAGAAATGAGTATTAATAACTTGCACATTCAATAGCAGGGAAAGATAAAATTGTCACAGTAATTAAATACAACATTCAAAGCTGTCACTTATATGCATCCCCAGATATAAAACCCTCCTTTTTTTTTCCCAAAGGAGAGAAGCAATTTTCCCTAATGGGTTACAGAGTTCTCCTCCACATCCCACCCTCACCCTGGTGGCACCACATGCCCTTCTAGAAGTTCTCACCAGGAGTAGCTCCTTACATGCTGGAGGACTATGTGTGAGCTCCTCCCTGAGTCCCAACTGACGCAGAAATATCCCTGCAAATTACCTTCCAGGCAAGACATACCTTTCTCAAATATACTGCTTTATTAACTGAACCTTCCCAAAGTTAGTAACATCCGATTGAATTGACCATAAAATAAGCTTAAATTCTTGCCAAAGAAAATGAATGATTATTTCTCAAATATTACTGACTACAAAAAGTTGTTTATTATTTGAGAACTAAATTCATCTGCATGCTGATATGCAACTATTTAGTTCTCAAATAATAAAATAAGAGTATTATCTTAAGATACCAAAAATTTCAAACTATATTTGAAATTTTTTAATTGAAAATTACCACAGCAACCCAAATATTTGATTGTGTGCCTGCATACAAACACAAACACACATATATTCTCTCTCTTTCTCTCTCTCTCTCTCTCTCTCTCTCTCTCACACACACACACACACACACACACACACATACACACACACACATTCCTTAAGACACTTAGGTAAATTTGGATAACACTCAAGAACATCTCTAATTTTAAAATAAAATTAACCTTTCTAATGTGCAAATATTAGGCTCTTTGAACTCTCTACTGTTACTTCAAGTAGTAAAAATAGATAAATTTATTCAATATTTGCACCTATTTGAATAATTCTACTACTTAAATTATAATTGACCAGGAAACCAACTTTGTTAGTTTATTTTTTTTTAATTATGAAGATCCTAAATTAAAGACTAGTTAAGAAAATGATTAGACTTCTGTAATAGAGTATCCTTATGCTGGATCCTTTGCATCTGTTTCATTAATTGTGTTTTGTAAAAGAATGCTTTTGTGACTCAACAATTTGGGCAGTGGTAATGATCATTTGGTGATCCAGAAGTGCACAGACTAAAGTCCCTTGATGTGCTGCTGTCATTGTGTGAGAGACAAGGAAGATTTGCTGTTATGTATGTTCAAGAAAGTTCAGATTACTATATTATGTCATTGAGAATTTGGGTTGATAGAAGACATAGTAAGTATTCTGCTAGTATAGGGTTACCCCCAATTTCACACATTGAAAACCTGTGTGGAATTTTCTGAGGAGGGTCTGTGTGCCCAATAGAATACAACAGAAGGGAACACAGGTCATTTCCAACATTAGGCTATAAAGACTGACTTGTGTCTTGATTCACTCTCTTTCATGAATCATTTTCTGCAGGGGAAGCTAGTTGCCATGACATGAAGTCATCCAACAGCCCATCTGTGAAGAATATAGATTCCAGACTAACTCCAGTGAACAACCAAGCCCTGCTATTTACCACCAGTGAGTTGGGACACAGGTAACTACTCAGCCAAGCCTTTACATGGTTGCCGCCTCAGCTGACAACTTAACCCTAGCCTCTACTCAGAGACCTTGGGCTAGAACCTTCTGCCCAGACCCTGTCACTACCTGACCACAGAAACTGTGATATAATAAGTATTTTCTGTTTGTTTGTTTTAAGCTGCTATACTTAGGAATAATTTGTCATAGGCAATAAATCGCTAATTATTTTATTAATATTATAATATTAATGGTATGGCTGCATGTCTCTGGCGGAGTTATGGGTTAGGTTAAAGACTCTGAGCTTTTTCTCCCCCTGTTAAGCTTTTCAGGGTTTTGAAAATTTACATAAAGATGATAAACAATAGGAAATTTCTGTTTAGAAACATATGTTTATGGATACAACATTTTTCAAATGATATCAGGGATTTCATTTAATTCTGGAAGCTCTTCTATAAATGTATTTTGAGTATAGAACACCAATTTTAAAATCCTGTGCTACAATATCAGGTTAAAAGTAGTCCCAGAAACAGGCTGGCACTCATTTGAATAGGTGATGTCCCAAGTGTTGGCCAACACAAATCCCACCAAAGGGTGTTCCTGAAGAGGGAAGAAGTCACGGAATTTTCAAGAAAGCTACCTGTTGATGTCATGTAACAGAAAGGCGATGCCAACATCCTGTCATTTAAGCTTCCTCAGATTTAAATCTGATTTTGCTTTTTTTAAAAAGCATTGTAGTCATTGAGACTTCAAGTGACCATGCTTGCCTCATATCTTTAAGCCAGGACCCCGGCCTCTAGCTGTTAATCTCTGAGTAAATGAAGTCACACAGGCCCTATCTCTGTTAGGACCTCTCCTGGACATGAGAATCAGCAAAAGAAGAAGTGGCATAGATGCCACCCTCATTCCAAATAGGTATCTGAAGCTGTGTTTCCTGTCACCTAGCACATGTGTGTCTAGCAATATGGCACAACTTAAAAAAAAAAAAAAAAAGAAAAAGGACCTTTAAGGTTACATAGGCATTGTCAATGTAATTAGTATTTGTTTTCCTTTTTTTTTTTTTTAATTTAGCTACTTGGGGTTGAACTCAGGGTCTCAGACTTGCTAGGCGGGTGCTCTAGACTTGAGTCACTCCACCAGCACTAGTATTTGCTTTTCAACATAATATTGACTCACTCATCAATTGCTTGACTTTCCAGAACCAAAGTCTGAGGGCAAAATGTGTGTATGTATGTGTGTGTAATGCATCAGAGAGGGAGAGAAGGGATAGAAGAAGGGATAGAAGAAGAATAAAAGTAGAAGTAAGTTTCAGAAAAAGTTCTCTCTGTAAAGGTCTTCAGAAAAGAACTTGCTGCCTCCAGTTCATTGCAGGGATCCTTGCCCTCTCATGAGGAGGAAAGATCTCATCACTCCATTCTTGAACACAGCAAGCACAATTAATGGCCCAGCATGTGCCAAGCTTGGCTTTGCATGATCAAACATTCTGACCATAACGAGAATCTAAGTAGCTCACATACATGCTGGGTGTTCTATTACTTCTGTAACTGCATCCATATTTCTAGCTATGGTGACCTCCCTCTCCCTTTCCTGCACTTGGTTAATCTCAGAGCTCTGGGCCAGAATGTTCAATCATTAAAGTCCTATTTTAGTGTGTTCACAAAAGGCAGGACAGGTAGAATTGGAAAACTGCAGAGCTGGAAGAGGCTAACTTCTTTGCAGCTTCAAATTGCAAAACCAGCAACTGCTGAGGGAGCTAGACTCTGGCTCCCACCTCAGGCCACCAGGACAGCAGCCCTTCCCAGTGCTGGGTACTGAGCCCAGGCCTGTAGGTTGGCTTGGCGTGTCCTCCAGGGGCACACCAAGACTGAGAAAACTGGAAGTGTGGCCACTCAGTGTTGGCCACAGTGTCAAGTTGCTATTGTAGAGGGAAGAATCTGTATCACTTGAGATGGCTCCAAAGGATTTCATGGAATAGAAAGCTATTGGGGGTAGAGGGGGTGGGCAGAGATTGCCTGCACTCTTAAGTTCTTTGTATTTAAACTCAGGCTTTATTTCTTTTTAGAAGTAAAACTTTTATTTTTATTTAACTTAATTTCATTTTTTATCTTGATCATAGGGGTAAAATATCAAAAAATCCTAGCCACATTTTCTATGTTGGAATTTGAACAAAAGAAATTATTTTATGATTAATTCCTTAACAAATTGTTCATGGATTTGATGTGAGCTGAAATCAAGGGAGAAAATGAGTATATTATCTAACTTCAGGGTAATGTAGTGCCCTATTTGCTAAGGACTCAAGTACGGTATATATGGACATGCATGTGTGATCAATGGACTCCTCCTTTGTAATTCTTTCTTCTGCATCATGTTGTTATTTAAAAAAATCCACTGCTGGTTCTGTGCTACCCAATATGGATATGAAGGTGTTTCTTTAAATCTACAAGCTCTCTCTATACAGGTCTATTTTACTGACCAAAATTATACCTCCTTACCCCTACCAGTCATATCCTGGGAACACACCCAGATTCTTGATTCATTTTCCATCACTTCCCTGAACCAGCTCCTTTTCCAGAAACACTCTCATTTGCTGCACTTCCATTTGTTCTCTGGTTCTAGCCTCAGTCCTCCCTGCCAGCTCACTGTCTGGAGAATAGGCTGCTGTTCTGCTGATGGAAGGACCATTCTAAAGAGGCAATTAAAACAACTACTCACATCGTGTGCAAATATTCTCTCCCTCACTCTCTGATATTCCTCTTCTCTCTCTTCAATTGATTTACTTCGTCTGTCATCTCTAAATGGATGCATTCTGTTTTGCTGAACAGAAAAAAGAAATTAGGAGGGTTATCTAAGTTGAGTTGTTAGAAACCTGCCATTAAGCAACTGTCAGCTGAGAATAGTAAATGTTCACTTAAATGACTAGAGCGTGACAAGTGTCACTCCCTCTGTCCCTGAGGAGGCTGAGTTGGGGGACATGGACTGTTGTGTGCATGGCATGTGTGATGGGAAATGTTTACTATTCCTGTTGCTTCCTCACTGGATGCAAGTAGCTTGGATGGTTCCAAAATGAGCATGCCTAAATGTGCTTCAATTGTCAGCCCAGTTCAGGTACATAGTAGATCCTCAGGGATGGACTCCATCTCCTTTGTTAACCTGTGTGGTTCTGATTCTTCAGAAGGAGGCAGAATGCTGGGGGAAGAGAGGAAGTGACTAGTTCCAGGGGGGTGAGAGAAGACAACTTGGGTACTGGAGAAAGCATGAGTGAGAAAGAAAATAGGGGCCATACAGGAAGATATGGCACTATTTCTCTATTTCCAAATTGGTGTTTTTTTATTCACTTAGTGATTGGTCTTGTGAATTGATGTGGTGTAAGAAGAAGAACCTTAGGATTATAAACTAAATGTAAAAATCCTGTTTGTTAATAAGGGTCAATATAGAGAAAGCTAAAGTAACAATTCAAAGAACCCAGCATAAGGATTGCTCTCCTTCATCCTATCAGCTAAACCACCCTTTTACATCTCCACTGCCCTCCCACCTGGCTTTGGCCATTCCTGACAAAATGTTCTGCACTCACCACATTCATCCTTTGTTCAACAGACACCCACTAAGCACACGACAAAGGTACAAGTTTCATAGTCAACAAGAGCCACAGTGCAGCTCGGTAGTGGTGGCAGTGGTGGTGGGAGGAAACGAGGTACAAACGATGAACAGGTTTTTTAAAAAGTTTGTCAGAGATGCACATTTTGGCTGACAGTGAGTCACTGAGAGTAATTAAAATGAGAACTTGAGTGAGATGCATATTGTCTTACCTTTAAGAATTCTTAAGCAAAGTAATTTCAAAAATATCTATTTTGATTGTCAGAGACATAAAGTATAATTGTAATGGCATTTATGTGACTTTCTACTATTTTTATTATCATTTAAAATTTGTTTTCTCTTGCCATTTACTTAGTTTTCTTTTTTTTACCCTAAATCCCACACCTCCCATCCAGAGAAGAGACTGAGGAAAGTTTCTTTATGTTGCCCAAGTACCATGATTAAAGCTATTCTAAAATATAGTGTTTCATAACGAGCAAAATGCACAGGATAAAGTTCTGCTACACTTCATGCAAAACGAGCAGACAATTTACATGGACCATAAGACATGGAAAAAAGGGTGGATGACTAAAACATGAACTCATTTTTTTTCCGTGAAGGCTTATTTTAGGATAGTTGCAAAATCCACCTGTCCTCACCATAACAAGGTTTGTTCTTTACAGCTACACCGGTTGGTCATCGGTCCGTATTGATAATCCAGCTCAATTTGTGCACAACGGAAGGACAGAGCTGTAGGGAGTGGAGCGACTGGCAGAGTTACACAGACATCTGGAAATGCGGCTGACAAGCTTTCCCCCACAGCTTGGAACCTGCAGCATCCCAACCCCCCAAGACATGCAGCAAGAACTGCGCCAAGCGCCACCCATGCAGCCCAACACAGAGCCATTGCTGAAGCAACCAGGACATGGCTTTTGGCTACCCAGCAAAGCCAAAGGGGAAGGCCAGGGGAGCCAAGGGGTTAGAGAGAGGGCAGTAGTGTCAGAGGCAAGGAGGGCTGGGAAGGCAGGAGGGACAACAGAGGAACAACAAGAACATCAGTCAGCCCACCTTCAAAAACAACAACGTCAGCCACTCTCAAACTTGAGAACCAACCTGATTGTCTTCTTTATCAATACTAGAGTTATCTCGCTTCAAGATAAACCGCTTCTGGGATTCTTCACCTTTTTCATCTTTTAAATGTTCACAAAACCTTTGCTCTGGTCTGCCAGCAAAGTAAAACATATCAATAAAAAAGGTTTTTTTTCCCTCCAATTAAAGTTATTTTTAGTGCTGTTTTCCCCCATAGTGGCATTTAACTTAAGAAAAAAGTTTACAAGTGGTTCTTATATTAGAGTTGCTGGCAATATATAGGTAGGTAAAGTCATTTCACATATATACTGTTAGGATACCTTTTGCTATTTTGAGTTCAAAATCTGGTTTGCTGCATGCTTGTGCCATAGCTGAAGTTAAAGAAAAATTTAAAAGCCTGCACAGATACAGGGTATAGATGTTTTCTTTAGTTATTTTGACCATTACTTCTACTGAATTCAAAAAATTTTCACTCATATTCTCTAGCAAATATACATATTTGGAACCTAGGAGCACATCAACTCACCAATGCCTGGGAAATGAGAGAATCTCTTTCATACTGTGTCAAGAGTCTTCTGAATCCACAGTGAGAGAGGATTGTTTACAAATTATTTTTGTCTTTCTCCAAAGACAAATGCTCCAGAATTTGGCTCCACTAGACTCTGACATTCATAACTGTGTCTTCTAAATCAGTTCAGTAGTTGGGGAAGCCAGAGATAGTTAAACACTTTAGTGACTGATTAACATGGGGAAATGCTCTAAGCAGTGACACAGGATTGATTAGGCAATTGATTTTTTTTAGGTTCTCTTAATCATTTGCTGTTATTAAATGAAAAGGGTCTACTACTTTGTTAATTTCCCATGATTATGACTGTGTACCATAACTCAATGAATGACTTGAGTTTGAGTTCATCCACACAGAAAGTGCTCAAGCATTTGTCCCTGGTTTAGAGCAGTTGTAATTTATGAGTCTCATTAGAGTGTCTCTGTCATGTCTCATATATTACTTCTGAAGCTTAAGGGGTTTCTGTCCCTGCCTGGTTCATTATACTGGTAGTCACTGGGAGGCCACTTCACAGTATCTGTGGTCTAAGGTGGTGATCAGCAATTAAGGGAATTTGACCCTTTGCTTAATTCGCCAAAATTAGCAAATAGCACTTTGAAAGCAAAGGAGTGGCTTATGTGTATACTTCAAACCTTGATAAGAGCCACTCTTTCCTTAAATCCATGTTCAAGAATTATGACAGTGGCAATGAGTAGGCGATAACAGAAAGCTGAAATGATATCAGCTATAGTTTTGAGAACTGTGGCATGGGTAATTTTTGCAAAGTGATGTCATCTTCCCATTTGATCCTGATAGAAAAAGTTGGATGTAGTAGAAATAAGCTTTTTTGCCTCTTTTAAAGACAAGGAAACATTCCTCAGAGAATCTTCCACTCCAAGTTTATAGATTTGTCCAGTAGGCCACAGGCACCAAACAGCCTGATCACATTGTCACAGAGAAGGTTCAGTCCCTCTGATTAAGCAGTATACCCTCCAACTATATAGTTCTCCAACCTCAGCTTCAAAAGCAACAGAACAAATATCCATCACATTATCTTAATGATCATCAAACTTAAAATGTAATAAAATATAACCAACAATTCAGAAGTGGAAATAGGCATTTACATTTTAGAACATAAGGAATGAGTAGAATTGAACTTGACCAGAAAAGAGCTGCCTATGGTAGAGACATGAAACATTCTGTGCAGAAAAGTCACAGTACAGTTCAATTACTTATGGTATTGTAAAGTCTTATGATGGTATCATGTGCAGTTGTGGATAACTGTAAATAACAATTGTCCAGAATTTTTTAGCATTACAGTATTTGCAGCCAATACTTATTGCTGCTATATCATTTTTTTCATAGCAAGTAAAATTAAGGTATTGATTTAAATAAAGATGTTGATTGTATCAATGTTAATTAGGTTGTGTTAGTGTTAATTAGATCTCTTTTAACATCCTGGGCTCTGTAGTCTGATAAGCTCTAGTAAATGAAATAGTTTGCAAATGCATATTTTGTATTTGCTTCTAACAAGCTGCAGCTATTCATGTAGAAATAAGTGATTTGAGAATGTGGACTTCTAGATTCATAAGTGTAAGGCAAATTTATTTTAGTCTCATTTTTTCTCTAAAGATGGGAAGCCAGTAGAGTGAGATCTTTGGTTACTAACTACAACTAGGATGCAAGTTTCATGTGGGTAGGACCCTATTCTTTAAAATACTTAATCCCCAGTGCCCATATCCATGCCTGGCACATGGGAAGCATCATACAGGTGAATGAATAAATTAATCAATGTGTGGGCTAATAAAAATTTAGCACAGCTATTGTAAATCACTATAATTCAGAGGCAGATAAAAAGAATCACTGAATAAAATATGAGGTCATAAATTCTGTAATTATAAAACAAGACAGATAGAGTTTGGTTTTAGGAGCCTATATTCAAATTTAGAGCATCAGGAAGATGTCTGAAAACTTGGATTTATGTTTCACATTGACCAAAATCAATCATGTTATCTATATACATTTTAAAATCTATGGGTGTCTTAGGAAGGGAATGACAACCTTTGTCCTCATTTTGAAACCTCTCCATTTAAAGTGTGCTATTGAAATATTACTTTTGAAATTTCATTTCCACTTCTTATAGTGCTGTTTTTCACAACAGACTATATTTAGGAAAACATACATTGATCATATAGTATAAAATTAATCAATAATGTAAATACTTCGAGAAAGAACATTTTTTTCTCTGATGGAAATTAAGCAAAGTACATTCTTGATGACCACTTCTCAAATATCTTATTTCTTCAAAACTTAGAATATAATAGCTTAAATTATTAATCCCATCATGTTTAAAAGTATATTTTGAATGATCATAAAGTAACCATCTGAAATTTGTTTTTAAAAAAATTCAATAACCCTAGTAAGATTTGTCTAAGTTGGTTTTATAGAGAACTCTTTGTGACTTTGGGACTAAAGAGCAATTTTCACTGTAAGCTCCTGCAAAGTAAGGTATACAACTGGGCAGAGATTAAACTTAAATTTACTGTTAATACCATCAGATTACGGCTTTTAAAAATCTCTTTTACAACTAATTGAACGCCTCAGCAATATTAGTTCTAAACCATAAAATGAATAAAACTAAAATAATGTATTATGGAATCGTATTTACAATGGTAAAGAATTGCTTTTAGTGTATTTATATTGAAAGGCAACTCTAAGAAAAAAAATCTTGAAGCTATGCCAGGTCATGATATTTATTAAGTTGATAATAATTAGACTTCACTCCGTATCTCTGATGGATTTTAGCCAATGAGGTATTATTTCTAGCCTTCTCTATATCATCACCAGAAAGCACAGAAAACAAGTTTAATGCTTATTTTAGGAAAATAGCTTCCTCTTTTCAAGGTAAAAATAAGTTTTTCAACAATTCGTAACACATATCCACTGTGAAATGCCTGTGTGAATATCACTGGAATTTCCAGTCTGTTTCTTCGTATCCCCAACCCAAACTGTGTAAAGTTACAATTAACTTAAATCATTGCTCTTTCATTAGATATTGCTTATGAAGTGAGAAGCAGTGTGACTGGTGAAGATAATCAAGCACTTTCTTCTAGTCAATCAATTTCAATTTTAGTTATTTTTTGCCCTTAAAGCTTGAAATACATGAACACTCATTGTGATTATTTCAAAACTTTTTTTATCTTGCAGTATTGTCAATAGTTTGCCCTCACTGTCAGGTTCTTGAGGACAAATTTATTGCTTTACTTCCAAACAGCTGAGCTTAATCTCTTCTTCCACATCTAAATGACGAATGTAAAGCTCTAGAATGTGGAGAGGCACAGAGAGATCTTTGAATTTCATTCCAAGTAGCTAAAAGGTGATCATTGGTATACATACAGATTCCAATAAAGAAAGGTTGTGTCCAATAAGGCACAACATTTTGATGGTGTAAGACACTCATCAAAAATATTTTAATTGTCAGAGATATTAGAGAAACCTAAGTGGCACTATTCTCTTAAAACCATGATATTTTCAATTAAATGTGTACAATTTTGGTATCTTTTATCAAGAATAAAAGAAAGCCCTATGTCCTTCTTATGTAAGTGTATTTTACAATTTTCCTATTCATTTGCCATTTTATACCATTTTGTTCTCTTTTAAATGAGACTACACTTTATAAATCTAATTCAGGAAATGGTACGTATTCAGATTCTTTGTTAGTATCTGTCAAACTCATATTCTCAACTTTAAACATCTTTGCAAAATTCATCTTGTTCTTTTCTGTTTTCAGTGTACTTAAAGATAAGGAAAGGCATGTAGACTAAGTAGTTTGATTCTCCTTTACACTAGACTGTGAAGGACGTTATGCAGCGCACTCAAAGACAGCCTGGGTCTGTAAGACAGCTGTTAAGTTGGTACTGCTGTTCTAGCAAGCACTTTGTCTATGTGGATTAAAGGCCTACAAATATCAATTTTCTTTGACAAAGTGATTCTAAGAATGAATCAAAAGAAAATAATAATAAATGAATACAAAGTTCTATGTTCCACAACAGCAAAATAGTGAAGATCTATTCCATATTGGACAACTAACTTAAGGCACATTCCATATGGAATGCAGTTTTATAAAATAATATCTAACAATGTTGGCTGGGATATAAAGGCACTTAAAAAACACAGATATACCTTGATGGCATTTGTGTCAAAGCCGTAATGCATAAGAAGAATAACGTTAGCAGTAGGTATCTCTGGATTGCGAAATGAGCAATTTCACTTTTAACATTTTAAATATTCGTGATTATTAGAATAAACAAGTATTATCATATAGCAACAAAATAATGACAGCTATTAGCTCAGAAAGAAAGGAAAACAATCTAACAACTTAATAGTAATTCATATCCAATCATTGGATTATACATAATTATTTTTATATTTTGAGAATTCACAAAATATTCTTCCATAGCATGTACTATTTTATAATCAGCCAAATTGAGCATTTAGATGTTTTGTTTTGTCAAATAAATTCTTAATCTTCTACTTCTAAAAATACCAGATTTAATTTTTCTTGCTGCTTTTTGTATTGGTTTATCACA